CTAGGTGCTGTGCGGAGCTCTTGGGTGCACCAGCTCACTGAGTGCTGTAAGGCATGCGCTAGAAATCCACCATACAGAGGGGAAACCGAGGCCCGAGGTCACAGAGCGAGTGCTGAGCAGGGAGGAGGTTCGCAGCCGGGGCGGGCGCTGCTTCTTGGGGGTCCTTCCCACCGCCCCCGACCCTGGCGTCCCGCCCACCCCGGCCCGAGGCCAGTGCGGGGGCAGCGAGGGAATGCGGGTTGCCCTCCGGGCCGACCTGGGTTCACCCGGCTGGTGTGTGTGTGTGTGCACCTCTGGCTGGATGGGGTAGGGCTGCCCAGTGGGGGCCAGCAGGGGACTCCGAGTCCCAACTCGGCTTTTCCGGTGCTGAGAGCCCGAGGGAGGCGGCTTGCGCTCTCTTACCTCTGGTGCCCGCTCCGTGAGTGGGGACAGTAAACACACTGGCCTCCCCGGGGGGGGGGGGGTGTGAGGCTTCAGTGCGCGCACGCGTGGAAGGTGCTTGGCGCGGCCCTGGCAGGTTCCCAGCGCCCGAGAGGACAAAGCCCACCAACCCCCAAGCGGCCCTTTGGCGCTGGGCGACGGGAGCGTCCATCCCCAGAAATGCGCCCTCGTAGACGCGGCTCCGGCCCCTGCTTCCGTCCTCCCAACGCTTGCTAGCGGCGCCAAGGCAGGTGGAAACCCGCTCCCTGGCCCACCACCAACGCCACAGAAACCACTCGGCGGGCAGGGCAGGGGTAGGGAGGGTGGGGCGCGAGGGAGGGAGGGAGGGAGGGGGAGCCTCAGTCCGCCTCCTGCCCCCTCCCTCGTGCGCGCGGCGAGGCGGGCACGCGCGCCGCACGGGCTCCCGACCGCCCTGTCTCTCCTTCCCCGGGGTCGCCCCGTCAGCCCCCTCACCCGGGCACGGCTGTCGCAGCAGCTGGACAACCGTGACATTGGTGAGGACGATGTCGCGTTTCGACATGGCCTAAGGTCTCATGGCCTAGCCGCCCGGGGACCGCCGCGATGTACTGAGGCGCGGGGCGCCCGGGCTAGTGGGGCCGGAGCTTCTCACCGTGACGTCACAGTGCCCGGTGATGTCACAGAGGCGGCGGCCAACAGCGTGACGTCCGCGTGCCAAGCCCCACCGTCCCCAGGCCATTTACACTGGTCCTCAAGGCCCTTTTCTCTCCCCCTCCCCTTCCTTCTCCCTGGCTCTGGGCTGCTCCTTGACCCTCCTCTGGCTAGTTAGCTACCCCGGCTGTTTTCTCTTGCCTGGAAAGCCCTGCCCTGTCCTTGCTCGGGGGCCTCCCGGTTTCCCTCCGGTTCCACCCTTTTAAGAGGGGCCCTCCTAACTCCCCACGTAAAGTTCTCTCCTTCCTCCATTACTGTGGCCGTGGCCTTCACCCCTCAATCTGCTCATCTTCCAGAAGCCTCCTCTGACTTCCCTTCCTGGGTTAGATGCTCCTGTGTCAAAGCTACTCCATGGCTACCCTCTCGCTACATTTTTTGTTTTCCTCACAGCATATGTCTCTGTCTCAAAATCATCCTGTTTATTCGTTTTCTTGCCAGTTGTCTCTGCCCACCAGACTGTAAGCTGTCGGAGGGCAGAGTGCTTGTCTACCTTCACTTTTGTATCCCAGTGGCTAGAAGGTTTGGCGCCTGCGGGTGCTCACGCAGACGCCAGAATGCGTATATAAATATCGCTGCCTCCCATGTCTTCCGACTCCCAATCTTAAATTTAAGTGACCTCCAAGCCAGATCCTCTCACCGCACCTGTGGCTTTTCAAGTAGTTTGTCATGATCCACTTACTGATTTACATGCTCATTGTGTCCCGTTGTTCAGCACGGGGCCTCTGCCGCCGCCTAGAACCGTGCCTAGCACAAAGCACCTTCTGGGGAAGAACAGGACAGATGGCTCTTTCCTCTAATGCACGGGGGTGGGGGGGTGGGGGGGTGGTGGAGGCTCGTTTGCACATCTGTGATTCACAGATAGGCGCCTTCACCTGCAGGGCTGGCTGACACACAGTTGTGACCAAGTTTTAGGGGGTGTGGCGGTTTGTGCCAGGAAGGAGTCATCATCCCGGACAGTGGTATGGAAGGAAGCAAGAAGGGGCAGAATGACATAATCTCCTCCTTCCCTAAGTCCTCACGGGAACTCAGTTCGCCAAGCACCCACAGTGGGACAGGGTGCGGGTGAGGCTCTCCTGCTTGGATGGTCCAGAGAGGTGGAACTGAAAATACATCGGTGTACAGATGGGGAATTTCAATGGCCCAAGACCAAAATGCAGGTATTAATTAAACAAAGGGGGACAAACTTAATACATGTGATGGGGGTTGGGAGGAGGCGGGGCGTGGAAGAGCACACAAATAAAACCAGGACTGAAAGGGGCTCAATTTTGTACAACTTTACAATAATAGATGTGAAAAGCCAGATGCAATTAAAAATTTTCTTAGAAAATATAAAGGATCAACCCTGGTGCAAACAGAAATGGCAAATCTGAGTAGGCCAATAACAAGAGAAGAACCGGAGTTAAGATCTACGCTCCCCGAGGCTGATTCAAATCCAGATGACTTTATGGGCAGGATCTGTCAAAAAGCATCGGGCACTGGTGCGGATCCTAACCAGAGCAGGGAAGCCGGGTGGCAGTCCTCGCGCGGAGGGGCTCTGGGCAGGGCACGTGCTCCGAGGCCGCGCAGGCTGGCCAGCACACTTCCTGGGAGTGCTCTGTGGGAGGGCCCTGACGCTGGGCCACGGAAACCTCCTCCACTCGCTCTGGAAAAGCAGCAGGCTCACATTACCCAAACCAGCAGAGGGTGGCAAAGAAAGGACAACTCCAGGCCAATCTCTTACGGGGACAGATGCCAAAGTCCTGAATCAATCAGTGGCAAATGGGAATTGGATCGAGAGGGACCGGGGCTGGCAGAAGATGGTGGCATGGGCCGAGAGAGGGGTGGAAGGAGAAGATGGGAGTACATTTCAAAAGGAGAAACCCCACCTCTCCATCTCAGGATGGATTAGGACTCGGCAGGTCACCACCCACCCTTCCCCACCCTGCAATCCCCTGGCATGGGAAACTCCCTCATTTGGGCACTGGACAAGGGCAGGAGAGCCACACCTGAGGCTGCCCAGGGATTTGGCTTTGTCCCTGGAGCGTGAAACTGGGAAACAGATTTAATGAGCTCAAGCTTGGAGAGGTGGCATGATTAGTCACCCTCTATAGGCAGTGCCTAGAAATGGCAGAAGCTCCTGGGTCTCTGGGCCTGGGTGTCCAGGACCTGGAGTGGAAGCGTGGGTCCTCTGACGGGAGTGGGCCTGGTCACCCTCGTTTGAGCAAAGCCTGAAAACCCATGCAGATTCTCACCACACCTGGGGAACCCACACACATACCTCTGTCACCCCGACCAGCTCACACCCTACACATTCCTTCCCACCTGCAATCCCACCTCCACCCCCTCTCTGTCTCTCCCTTTGGCACCCAAACCCAAATATCTTTCACCCCTGCACCCGACTTACCCACCCACTGGGCTCTTGTTCTTCTGGTCTTGGCCGGCTTCTAGCCCCAGATAGCTACGCTGCCACAGACCTCCCAGCTACCACCTGTCCTTCCTTCTGATGACCCTCTTCATGCCCAGGGTAGACTCCCAGCCGTTCCCCTCCAACCCATGCCACCATGTCAACGCTTGGGGCTTTAGGTTGGGACCGAGGAGGCCCCAGGGGGAGGAGGGAAGGAAGGATGAGCCCCTGGCCTCCAGCCCAGGTTCTGGCTGATAGTCTCCTGCTGCCCCAGGTCTTCAGCCCCTCCCCGTGGCTGCCTCAACCGGCTTTTCAGGAGACACTGCGTCCTGTCCCAGCTCATGGCAATCGGTCCTCTGCCCTCGCCCAAGGTCTGGGAAGCAGGAGGCCAAGGTCCCGGCTCCAAAATCTATAAGCCTCCCCGAGGGGCCCCAGGCTGCTCTGGGGACCCAGGCACCCTTCTCTCCAGCACCCTCTGAGACCCAGGCTTGGCCTGTCTTCCCTGGGCTTCCCTTAGCAAGCATACTATGTGTACTTACGTCCCATACCTTTTTGGAGTGCTTCTTTAAATCCATCCATTTGTTCAATCTATAAATATTTACTGAACCCCAGGCAATGTTCTAAAAATTGGGGATACAGCAGTGGCCAACACAAAAGCCCTGTCCTCTGGAAGTTTACAATCCGATAGGTGAGGCAGACAGTATAAAAGATAATTTTGGATCGTGGTAAGTGCTTGTAAAAACAAAACGATGATATCACCCAGGATAACTGAGAGACGGCCAGGGATTTTTTTTTTTTTTTTTTTTTTTTTTGGTGACATTTGAACCAAGAACAGAATAAGAAAGAACCCACCATGTGAAGATGTGAGTTCTGCTTTCCAGGCAGAGAGGGCAGCATGTGCAAAGGCCATGAGGCGGGAATGAGCCCGGGGTGTCTGAGGACCGGAGAGAAGACCCGTGGGGCTGGGACGTAGTAAGCGTAGGGGGGTGTCAACGAGAACAGTGACAGCAAGGTCTGAAGACTCCCTCAACTCCCCAAGAGTGCTCTCCTCCCCCCTGACTGAGCCTCCCATCTTCCTAGACTTTTGCTGCTGGGGAAACTGGACCCTTCGATCCCCTGAGAGGAGTGAAGAACTAGGCCTGGGTCCTGGGGAGGGGGGTGGCTGCAGGTGAGGTTGGGAGAGAGGAGGCCTGGAGAGTGGGTGAGGAATGAAAAGAGGGGGTGGTTGGAAGGGCAGACATCTGGGCTTTGGGGTGGAGGGCCTGAGCTGGGCAAGGACGGAAGATGACACGTGAGTGTTCTCCATCCATGACTCACCTTCTCTTCCTCCTCCTCTTCATTGCTTAACTCAAGCTCCCTGAGAAATACCTCCCTGACTGGGGACCAAGTCAGTGCCTCACAGGGGTAACTGAGTCATGAGGGGTGGAGAAGAGAGAGGGAGGTAGAGTATAAATAGCAGCTTTGCTTCCCTGGCTCCTCTCTGCATCCTCCCCACCCTGCCAACAACATGCACCTTGCCAGTTTGGTCAGCTCCTGCTCCCTCCTACTGCTACTGGGGGCCCTTCCTGGATGGGCGGCCAATGATGACCCCATTGAGAAGGTCATTGAAGGAATCAACCGAGGGCTGAGCAATGCAGAGAGAGAGGTGGGCAAGGCCCTGGAAGGCATCAATAATGGAATCACTCACGCTGGAAGGGAAGTGGAAAAAGTTTTTAATGGACTTAGCCACGTGGGGAGCCAGGCCGGCAAGGAACTGGACAAAGGCGTCCAGGGGCTCAACAACGGCTTGGACAAGGTAGCCCATGGGATCAACAGTGGCACCGGACAAGCAGGAAAGGAGGCAGAGAAGTTTGCCCATGGGGTCAACAATGCTGCTGGACAGGTTGGGAAGGAGGCAGACAAAGTGATTCAGGGGGTCCATCATGGGGTCAACCAGGTGGGAAGTGAGGCAGGGAGGTTTGGCCAGGGGGTCCACCATGCTGCGGGGCAGGCTGGGAACGAAGCAGAGAAGTTTGGTCAGGGGGTCCATCATGGGGCTAACCAGGCTGGGAAGGAGGCAGAGAAGTTTGGTCAGGGGATCCATCATGGCGTTAACCAGGCTGGGAACGAGGCGGGGAGGTTTGGCCAGGGCGTCCACCATGCTGCGGGGCAGGTTGGGAACGAAGCAGAGAAGTTTGATCAGGGGGCCCATCATGGGGTTAACCAGGCTGGGAACGAGGCGGGGAGGTTTGGCCAGGGGGTCCACCATGCTGCCGGGCAGGCTGGGAACGAGGCAGAGAAGTTTGGTCAGGGGGTCCATCATGGGGTTAACCAGGCTGGGAAGGAGGTGGAGAAGTTTGGACAGGGGATCCACCATGCTACTGGGCAGGCTGGGAACGAGGCAGAGAAGTTTGGCCATGGGGTCCATCATGGGGTTAACCAGGCTGGGAAGGAGGCAGAGAAGTTTGGTCAGGGGATCCATCACGGGGTTAACCAGGTTGGGAAGGAGGCAGAGAAGTTTGGTCAGGGGATCCATCACGGGGTTAACCAGGCTGGGAAGGAGGCAGAGAAGTTTGGTCAGGGGATCCATCACGGGGTTAACCAGGCTGGGAAGGAGGCGGAGAAGTTTGGCCAGGGGATCCACCACACTGCTGGGCAGGCTGGGAAGGAGGGAGACAAAATAGTCCAAGGGGTCCACCACGGAGTTAACCAGGCTGGGAAGGAGGCGGAGAAGTTTGGCCAGGGAATCCACCATGCTGGTGGGCAGGCTGGGAAAGAGGGAGAAAAAATAATCCAAGGGGTCCATCATGGGGTTAACCAGGCTGGGAAGGAGGCGGAGAAATTTGGTCAGGGGATCCACCACGCTGCTGGGCAGGCTGGGAAGGAGGGAGACAAAATAGCCCAAGGGGTCCACCACGGAGTTAACCAGGCTGGGAAGGAGGTAGAGAAATTTGGCCATGATGTTCATTATGCTGCAGGGAAGGCTGGGGAAGAGGGAGACAAAATAGTCCAAGGGATCCATCCTGGGGTCAACCAGGCTGGGAAGGAGGTGGAGCACTTTGGCCAGGGAGTTCACCATGCCGTTGAACAGGCCGGAAAGGAGGCAGACAAAGTGGTCCAAGGGGTCCACGATGGGGTCAACCAGGCCGGGAAGGAGGCAGAGAAATTTGGCCAAGGGGTCAACCACGCTGCTGGCCAGGCTGGAAAGGAAGCGGATAAACTTGGCCAAGGTGTCCACCATGCTGCTGGCCAGGCCGGGAAGGAGGTGGACAGGTTGCAGCAGAATGTTCATAATGGGGTCAACCAAGCCGGCAAGGAGGCCAACCAGCTGCTGAATGTAGGTGAACAGGGGTGGGGAAATGGGGAGAAGGGGCTGGGGGAGGGAGAGGTTCAGCCCTTGGGACATTTGGGTAGTCCATGTAGCCTTCATTCAGTGAAAGAAGCTTGGGGAGCTTTATGATCACGTTCCCTTTCTTCCTCTCCATCTCCTTACAAAGGAGCTGGTGCTCTGCTGGTCAGATGGGTCACACCATCTTGTCCGCAAAGCCCTAGATCAGACAGCGAGAACCTTCGCACTTCAGGGAGCTGCCCTCCTAGTTGAGGAGGTGTAAAGAGAGGAACATGAAGCCTCTCCTGGGGAACAGGAAATGGTTACTGAGTCAAGGTCTTGTGCAGTGCAAACAGAGCGAGTGTTGAGAAAACCCAGAGCATCAGAGTAAGCATGAGGAACGGCTTTGGGAGATAAGCCCTCTTCTGCTTAATTTTCATAACAAGCCTCTGAGGTAGTCAGGGTGAGGATGTTGACTCCCCGATTCTCAGATAAGGAGATAGAAGTGAGTTTTAAGGGGATTTGCCAAGGTCAGGTGGCTAGCGAGCAGGTCTGGCCAATCACAGGTCAGGGTTCTTTGTCTCCCCCCCCCCCCCCCCCCGACACTGCTCCATCAGGGGAGGTCTCCAGGAGGATTTCTGTAGAGGCAACAAATACTGGAGGCCAGGGGGAGGCAAGGGGCGCCATTCACAGCGGGCCAGAAGCCTGACCCCTGCCTGCCTCAGTTCCCCACTCTCCAATCTCCATGAGGAGTCTTTGGGACACCATCTGGAGGACTGGCCCAGACTCGGAAGCCGACAGCCACGCAGGCCGCAGGCAGAGGACCCAGGGCTGGGTGGCTGAGGAGGAAGGGACTCCACAGGAAGTGTGCACGGCAGAGGAATGGGCTCTGAGTCAGACGGCAGGCTTCACTGGGAAGGAGTCAGGAAGGGGAGGTTTGTTATGGGATCCAAGCTGGCCCTAGCAGCGGCAAAGGCACAGCTGAGTATCTGAGGGGAAAATGAGGTCAGGGATCAACCGAAGTCAGGGACCAGGCCAGAGGGGGGTAGAGACGGGGTAGAGCTGAGGTCGGGGCTGAGGTTAAACTATGGTTCTAGGGTTTGCGTGGGTCGTCTGGGTTCCCTTCCCAGTTTCCATTCAGGCCCTTCTCAGCGACTGAGGGCGTTTCATTCACTGAAATAAAAGGGAATTGGGGGAAGACTAGTCAGGACGGGCAGACATCCTTCCAGGCTTTTCTTCCCGTCTCACAGAATTCCCACAGTGACATGGGCTTTGGGTTTTCTTTCTGGGTAATGAGGGGGTAGGGGATTAGCTTCTGCCTCCCACCCCAGCCCCAGTCACCCTAGAGGGCGGCAGGTCACCGGGGAAGAGGAACCTGCGAGATCCTCAAGGGCTGAGGGGTTGTAATGACAGTCTGGGCTTCGTCCGCAGGGCACTCACCCAGGCGTTTCCACCGGCCAGCACGGAGGGGGCGCAACCACAACAGTAGCATCTGGAGTAAGTTCCCCGGGGGCACAGCAAGGACTCAGTAGGGGGAGGGAAGGCCGTCCTATGATGGGATGGATTCTGGGGACCAACCCTCTTGCCCTTGAATTCTAGGCCTCGGTCAACAAGCCCTTCATCAACATTCCAGCTCTGTGGAAGGTGAGTGCTGGGAGGTTTCAACTTTCTGCTCTCTGTCTCTGGAGAGAGTCTCAAGTTCCCTTCCCACTGCCTGTCCACGGATAACTTCACTGTGGACACACTCTCAGCCTTGCAGACACCATCCAACCTGTTTCCCAGCTCTGGCCTTCCCTTTCTTCACCTGCTCTTTGCCCCTTACACCCTGTTTTCCTCTTCTGGCTGCTTTCCATTCCTGCTGAGGCAAATGCAAGCTGGCAAAACAGACCCCCAGAGGCCAGCGAGGGAGGCGCGCTGCTGAAACCATCCCCTCCGTGTGCTCACCGCTTCTCATCGGATTCCCTCCCTACCTCAACCCACCGTGGGGCCCTCTGCTGCCTTATAGCAGTATGCTGGGGGGTGGGAACCTGCAGCTCTGGGCTTTCCCTGGCTGACGGGACTCCCCAGTAGAAAGCCTCCTGGGGGACCCTGGTCCCTACCCTGGGCGCAGAGCAAAATCCTAGCTTTGCAGTTTTCTCTTTGCATGTAGTGCATGGCTGCATGAGCCTGGGGCAAAAGGAGGAGGGTGTGGAACAGCCCTTGTGGACCGTGCCCGGAACCCAGAGGCACAGCCTTGTTTATTCCTGGGCTATGGGGGTGCCAGGGGACCCTCTGAGACAAAACAGACAAGGCTTCTGGGCTCCTCCACAGGGCCCTGGCACCTCTCCCTGGGAGGGCTGGCTCCCTGTTCTTCCTGAATCTAGGAGCCACTTTGCTGAAGACATTCCGCAGAACATAGGCAACCCCTAGGCCTGAGAAGCTAATGGCCATGTCCCCCCTCATTTCCCTAGGGGACGTGAGGGCAGAGGTCTTGGTCCCCTCAGGGCTGTGTTCCCTGCATTCATTTCCTCTCTCCTCTTTTCCAGAGCATCGCCAACATCATTCCCTAAACTGATGCACTGGCCTCACTCAGCAGACTGACATTCCTGTTGTCATACTAGCTGAAATGACCCGGAGGAGCTGGGGGCGGGGGGCAGATTTCCTGAGTCCCGGGAGGGGGCTGTACTGGGGTTTGTGAATAAATATGACACGTTATACTCTCATCATGGTCCACTGTGCTCCCCGAGGAGGGGTGGGTGGGGGGAGGCTTCTCTTTCCTTGCTATTCTGTGGAAGGAGCTGGGGGCTGATGCACAGGAAGGCTGGGCTGGAGATTTCAGGCAGGTCAGATATAAGAGGGCACTCACGGGGACAAGCCAGGCTTCGCTAGCGGGCAAAACCCGTGCGTGCTTGGTACTAAGGGGAGCATCTGTGCAGAGAAGGCCACTTCAGGCCAGAGTGGGGGCAGAAGCACCAGCGAAGAGAATGGCGGGAACCTAGATGGAGCCCAAGCGGGTAGCATCCTTGTTTGGGGGGTGTGGCACCAAAGGAATAACAATGGTAACTTGTAATTGTTGTGCAATGCTGGGCTCCCTGCTGGGTGCTTTCCACGCATGACATCACTGAATCCTCCCCCCCTCCACCCCCTTAGGTAAGAGGTTCTGTTACAGAGAAGCACATGGAGGCTCCCGCAGGTTAAGAAACATGACCAAGGTCACATAGTCAGGAAGTGGAGGGGAAAGGACTTTGAGCGACAAAGCATATTCTGAAAATACGGTCTTTTCCTTTTGGCATCAAGCAGTGGGGAATGGTGCAGACAGGAAAGGAAGAGATACGTGTGGGAGGTGCTTGCATGGGGAGGAGCACCAAAGGCCCAGGGGGAAAGCACCCTGGTGACAGGAGGGTGGGCCTCCTTAAGATGGACAGGAATGGGGACACAGAAGGCCCGGTTTTCAGATGCATGACAGCAGCGACTGTTCACTAAGCACTAGCTAGCTTCCAGTACTGTGTGAAGAGCTGAAACCATTTAAGCCTCTCATAACCCAAAGGCAGAAGCCCTTTTGTGATCCCCATTGTATGGATGAGGAAAACGGAGGCTCAGAGGGCCCAGGGCCCTGGCTGTCCACTGCCAGAACCTGACCTTTCACGGTTGCCTAGAAAGTCTCTAGAAGGCTTGCCAAGCACCGGTCTGTGTGCCGGGAGGTGTGCATTCCTGGTAGGACCATGTACCTGTGGGCAGCTTCCTTCCCTTCTGGGGGCCACAGTTTCCTTCTGTATATGTGTGTGCTTGTGTGTGTGTGTGTGTGTGTGTGTCTTGGGGGGGTTGTCTGCAGGGGAGGACTACAAACATAGCTTCCGACACCAAAATTCCATCAATTGTGGGACCAAAAGTAAGAGGCCCAAAATTGCCCTTGGGGAATTTACAGGCTTCCCGGGGGATACAAGGTGCATAAACAGAATATGAAAACAAATATGAAGCAATGCATCGATAAGAACTAGATGCCACCAGGAGGGGTGGGGGTGGGGGCTGCATGTGTACAATAAAGGTGACGCTCCCGAGACTTCATGTTCACTGCATTTTTCCTGATTTGTAGAATACTATCATTTTTACGACCTATGGTCCTTCCCTTCCCCTACGATATTTTAATTAGAAAATATTTCAAACGCACCAAAAGATGAGTTTTATAGTGAATACCTGCGTAGCCACCCCTTATAGTCTACCATTAACAGTTTACTCTCCTTGCTTGATCACACGTCCATCTGTCACATATCTACCCATTTAGCCACGCATCAATACATTAAATGGCAATTGTCCATTTCCCGCATTTTAATAAACAAGAAGCATTCATTCACATCACACATTTATTGAGGGTCTACTCTGTGCTGGAGCTCATTTCATACAAACTGGAGTCGTCCCTTCTGGAAAGGGCATATTCTAGGGAATCTCTCTTTCCTGAAGTAAAAGCTTTCACCGATTTTATTTGTACGCACATTTTGTTGCTGGGTTTACTTGGATGGGGGTCCTGAAAGTGTCAAAGTGATATGGGATAATCCTATGGGTGGGTGTGTGTGTTGGGGGGTGTCAATCTTGGGAGGCTTCTGGGAAAGAACTTAGCCGGTTTTCAAGGGTAAACGAGGCCTGGCTCACTTCTGTCTCGGGGTCCGGTGTGCACCTCCGTCCGCCAGGAATATTCTCCGTGTCCCTCTTTCCCCTGTGCCAGTGCTTCCTTACCCTGCAGGTGTCGGCTGTCCTGACCACACCACCCAAAGGGCCACCTTTCTATTCTCTGGTCTGGCACACTGATCTTTTTCTTCACAGTGCTTATGACAATGTGTAATTATATATTTACTCATTTAATGTCCATTTTCCCCCTAGACTAACATGTTCCAGAGGAGAGGCCGAGGCCAGGCACAGATGGCTGGCAGCTAACAGAGGGGAGGCTCTCTTTTATTGGGTGCTGACTACGTCTGTGCTGAGCACTTACAGACAGGTTCATTCCATCCTCTCGAGCTCCCCGTGAGCCAGGCACCATGATGGTCCCCCTCCCAGACTGAGGCCGCCCAGCTAGTGAGTGGTGATGGCCCGGCTCCTCCTAGTCACGAGCACTTCCCAGCTGCTGGTCTCTGCTGGTGGCCGAGATGGCTGGCCTCCCTGGGACCCTCGGGGAGGCGGGGGCTACTTCAAAATAAGTCCTCTTTAAAATTAAGTTTCTGCCTTCAGGAGGTGTGTGCGTGCCTGTGTATGTGTCTCGCAATTAAACTGCCAAGAAAATACTCCAACATCAACGTGCCCACCACTAGCAAGAACACATAGTGAGTGCACAGGAGCGTGCCAGGCATTGTTCTGAGCACCCCGCCAGGATTCCCTCACTTCACCCCTGCATTCCTGCCTCTGATAGACAAGGAAACCGCTGCACAGGTGGGTTAAGATCGCAGCTAGTAAGGGGAGGAGTCAGGATCTGAAGCTCGGCGGCAGGATAGGTACTGCGCACAGGTGGATCAGCAGATGCCAGCTGGAGGCTCGGGATACCACCGAGGGGAGCAGAGACATCACCCAGATCCAAAGCCCCATCTCCTCTCTCTGCTTGAGTCCAGCCTCTGTCCCCCCCCACCCTGAAGCCTCCTCCCTGGTCTCTGTATCCACCTCCTGCCCCTTGCCCCCCAGCCTGTTCCTCAGAGGGACCCTGTTAACACTGAGTCAGACCATAGCCCTCCTCAGTCAAAACCTTCCCCTGGTTCTACTTCATTCAGAATAAGAATCAGAATCCTCACAGTGGCCCCAAGTCCCCCTGTCTGGGCCAGTTTCTCAGTGACTTTGACTTCAACTCTTCCCATTCCCCACCCTGCTCCAGTCACAATGGTCCTCAAATAGAGTAAGTAGGTTCCTGCCCCAGGGCCTTTGCACTGCTGTCCCTCCGCTTGGGATACCCTATCCCCAGACGTCCTCATGGCTCACTCTCTCACTTCCTTTGGGTGTCAGTTCATAGGTCACATCTTGAAGAGCCTTTCCTGGTTACCCAATTTAAAATACTCTGTCTTCTGTAGTCCCCCACCTCCCTGTATTTTTCTTCATTAGTGCTCACCACCTGATACGTTTATTGTCCAACCTCCTCACAATGAATGTGAGCTCCCTAAGGAGAGAGATTTAGATGATCTTCTACACTGTATCCCCGTGCCTAGAACAGGTGTGACACACAGCACAGTAGGTACTCAATAAATACTTACAGAATGAATGAAATAGTGACTTAGAAAAGCTGAAATCGGAGGACATGAGGTCAGGCAGTTCAGATTTGTGGACGCCATTAGGTACAAGAACAAAGGAGGCATGGATGTAGGAGAAAAAGCTGTTTGGGAGTCTGACAGACCTGGGTCATATTCGGACAGCACCATTTTACCACCATCTCTTTTAAATACGCTATTATGTATGTGTTTACCAGCCCTGGGCCTCAGTTACCTCACCTGTAAAATGGGAATGTCTACCCGCCCCCCCGCCCCGAGGTTGTCGTAAGGATTAAATGAGATCATGCATGTGGAAGCACTTAGCCTTCTATTTGGTTCACAACAGGTATTTCATAAATATGCCTGCAGACCACGTGAGGTGACCTCTCAGGTCCAGAGATGCCTGAGGGTAGTTTTCTCCAGAAGGCAGAGCATGGGAGTGCATGGGAGAATCCAGCTGGTTCAGGAACATGGCTTTGAATAAGTCTGAATCACACAGTGAGAGCCGTGCCCTTTTCTCAATTTTCTCTGAAACTTTCTGATTATGTTAGAGAAGAAGACTCAACTTCTGTGCTCCTGTGCCTTGAATACCTCCCTCATACTTGCCAATCTCCTTCTGTGTTTTCTGGTACTTTCTCTTTATGGGCAAGTGATCCTGGCTCTCCACTTACAGTAGCGACATAAAATATGCTTAAGAAAGTAAGCTGGCTTAAAGAAAAACACTAGTAACAGAGCTGGGTCAGGGGGCAGATACATACCACGGTGAAGGTGGTATCCCATGAGGGAAGTGTGGGAATGAATCTCTGAAGCAGGGAGCGCTCTACCTCCAGCCCCATGGTCCTGCCCTTGGACGCGGAAGCAGCTGGCTCAGGGGCCGAGGTGTCCATCAGCAATCCGGAGGCCTCAGATTTACTCCTGCCCCCCTGCCCCTGCCCTCCATAAGGCCCCAGGGCAAAGCCACCACCAATTCCATCCAGAGAAGAGTGAAGGTTTTGACAAGCGGGGGGAGGTCTGAGACAGAGGACGAAAGAACGTGCTGGGAGCAGGGTTTAGAAGTGGAGCAGGCCTGGGCTTGGCTTTGGCTCTACCACACACCACCATTCCCCTCTGAGCCCCAGATTGTCTGTCTCTAAATGGGGTGATACTAAGACTATCTGCCAGGGCTGTGTGAGCCTTAAAGCGCTTAGTCCGGCACTGGGCACACAGAGCTGTGGATAGACTGGAGCTGCATTGACAATTACGATGATGGTTACCACTACCACCATTATCACTGTCATTAAAGAGAGGTGGAATAACAGGGAGGTAGGAGGTGCCCAGGACAGACAGGGGTTGTGTTTACATGGTGAGAGGTGTTGGATGTTACAAGTTGGGGTGCGGGTGCTGGGGTGGAGAGACTGACTGAGAGACATTGGGAAAGGCAGATGGAAACCAGCCCCTCCTAACTTGGTGATGAGTTCCAGTGATACAAGGCCGGCAACAAGTGGGAGGCCCAGGGGTCCTGGGAGCAGAGAAGCAGCCGGGTGCTGGACAGGGCTGAGATGGGGAAGATGCCTGAGCCCTGCGTCCTGAGCTGGGACGAGGAGAGGGCCATGCTGCTGACCTAGGGCCCTGGAAGGGGGTGGGGTGGGGGCTCACGCTGACCCCTCCTCCCCTGCTGGTGCGGCCAGGCCCTGGGGAGGCTGGGGGTGGGTGGGGCGAGCCGCAGTACCAGTCCTCTCAGGAGGCTCTGAGCTCACACACGTGCCCCCGTGGGCCAGGAAAACAGGATGGGTGCCTGGGTCAGCTGCTCCCTCCCACTCATGCCCTGGGGGTGGCTGGCCCGCCCAGTTCCTTGCTCCGCACCCAGCTTTCTCGGCCAAGAGCAGCCCCAGTGCTGAGACGCCCTGATGACCCCTCTCAGGCTGGCCACTTCCTTCCTTGGTACCTGGGGTCCGCGCGGAGGGCAGTCCCACAGCTGCCAGACTCTGTGGGCTGGAAGGTATGGCAGAGTGTGAGGACGGTCACCTTTAGGTGGCAGTATGGGAGGGAAGAGAGATGGGAGAGAAAAAGGCCGCCAAAACTGAGAGAGCAAGGCCAAGAAAGGGCAGCTGCCTCTCAGCCCGGTGCCCCTGAGCCAGGCTGGCTTACACCCCGGGTGGGTCCTGCCCCGCTGGGCTCCCTGCGTTTCCCTCCCGGTTGGGTCCCGCCTGGGGTTCCTTTCTCCTGAGACCCTCCACCCCATCACCTCTAGGAGACACCGACCGACCATCTCCTCAGATGTCCCCACCCCCGCCCTGCGCCCCAAATTCCTGGGGTGAGGAAATCGGGACACTTTGGCGCCCGCCTCGTCCCGTTCTGTCCTCCCTCCCTGACGCTTGGGCCCCCTCTCTGTTTCAACACAGACTCTCAGACTCACAATTACAGCTCATTACCCTATCGGTGGCTGGCCCTGAGTCACGAGGGAGGGACTCTGGGCTACCCAGCCCTGTCACCTTCTCCCAGGCCACGGTATAAGGAGTAGTGGCCGGGAGGAGGCTCTGGGAAGGCAGGGGAGTCTGGGAAAGGAGAGAGAAGGCTGCGGACTTAGGGGGACAGCAGAGTAAGTCAGGGGGCAGAGCACGGAGGAGGGCACACACAGACACACGGAGGGGGAGGAAGGGCAAAGAGAAGAAAACTCAGGTGGGAAGAAGACGGGAGGGAGAGGAGTGAGGCAGAGATGAAGTCACAGGGCTCCCTGGCCTGCCTCCTGCTGGCCCTGTGCCTGGGCAGTGGGGAGGCTGGCCCACTGCTGAGAGGAGGGGAGAGTGCTGGAGCAGGTGCTGGGAAGGCCGTGGGACAGGGGGTGGGAGAGGCCATCGGAAAGGGGGTGGGAGATGCCATTAGCCATGGAGTCGAAGAGGCTGTTGGCCAAGGGTCTGGAGAGGCAGCCAGCTCCGCAACCAGGGAGGTCATGGGCCACAGCATGGGGGAAGCAGCCCGTGCCCTTGGAAACACTGCGGGTGAGGCTGGCAGGCAGGTTGAAAACATCATTCGACATGGAGGGGATGCTGTCCACAGCTCCTGGCAGGGGATGCCTGGCAGCAGCGGTGCTCAGGTGAGTAGCTGGCAGCTGGGTGTGGAAATGGGACGCTGTGGGCAGTTGGGTTGAGAATCTTGGGAATCAGTTGGAAGGATGACTGGGTCTCTTATTTGTGGCTATCTGGGGTGGCTTCCCTCCATGTGATGATGCATCCTTCTTCTACCACGCTGGGGTCTCCCTCTACCTGCCTCTGCCTATGTCCTGCTGTGCTGCCCCCCCCCCCATCAGAGAGGGGGTAAGGCACACACACTCAGTGCAGGTGTGTTGCTCTTGCAGGGAACCAACGGCCAGCCTCCATCTGGAGGCCATGGCATCTTTGGCTCCCAGGGTGGCTCTGGAGGCCACAGCCAGGGCAATCCTGGAGGGCCAGGGACTCCCTGGGGCCAGGGATACCCCCGAGGTTCAGAGGGAAGCTTTGGAGCCCACTCTCAGGGAGGCCCATGGGGCCAAGGAAGCAATGGAGGGTCTTTCAGCTCGGGCACCAACGCTCAGGTACAGCAACCACCCCAGCCCCGAGGCTTGCAACCTCCTGCCCTTCAAGCCCACGCTCTCCACACCTCCCTCATCTTTCTGTCCGTACCCCTCTCTGCAGGGGACTGTGGTCCAACCCGGTTACGGCTCCATGAGAGGCAGCAACTCACACACAGAGGTAAGGGGAAGAGTCAGGAAGAAGAGGGTGTCCAGGTGCATGTGACAGAAAGTAGGAGAGACGAACAGGAAAGAAAGAAGGATGGGGGTTGAGGTACAAGGCAGACTGACAGGGAAGAGATGGGTCAGGAAGAGGGGAGGGAAGGGGCACGGGCACGTGGGGAAAGAAGGCCAAGCCACAGGAAGCAGGAGAGCCTGGCCTGTGGCGATGGCTTTGACCCAAGTCTGGAAACTCACCCATCCCTGGAAACTTTCCTCCGCAGTGCACCAACCCCCCGCCATCCGGCTCAGGCGGAAGCTCCAGCAGCTCAGGGGTAAGGGGACAGGCCATCAGAGGCATTTTGCGCAGGGAGTAGACAGAATGCCGGCTCCCTCCACTGCGCACAGGAAATATGCTGGAGCCAGAGAGGGAGGCGAGGGAGGGAAGCCAACACTCCTGATGTTCTCACTCTGGTCTCTTCCTGCCCCTTAGGGAGGCAGCGGCGGAGGTGCCAGCGGAGGTGGTGGCAGCAGTTACGGGCCCAGCTGGGTGAGTTCTGCTCCTCTGCTCGCCATCCTGGGGCTCCTCAGCTCCTGCCCCCCACCTGCCTGGCCCTGCCAGGCAGGGTTCCTGACACAGCCGGGTGACGCCCCTGCACAGGTGCCTGGCCTGCGCCCGCCCGCTTGGCTCCCTTCCGCTCAGCTGCACGCGGGTGGGGATGCTCTGCCTCCTGGCTGATTCCCGCGGCCGCGGGGCGGATCTGACTAGAGAGGGCGCTGGCAGAGGGGAGAAGACAGGTGGACACAGGAAACCGGGCATCGGCCTGGGAAGCTCCCAAGAGAACGGGGGCAAGCGTGTTGCACACACGCAGAGACCAGGACACGTACGGCACTGTGGTGTAGGTGACGCCGATAAATACAGGGCACATGAGGGGTCTGGGAGGAGACCATGGCCGGGCAGCCACAGAGCGTGGCTCTCCCACAGAGGGGGCCCCACAAAGCGGGAGCGCAGTTGGCTTCCTTGGGTATCTGGGCAAGGTCTGCGGCAAGAAGAGGGAAGTAACGAGAACAAGCCCGGTCACATAAGCTGCTTTAATTTACTGTTCCTCATACTACCTGCTTTCCCTCCCAATCTAGGACCGTCCCTTAGAAAATTCTAGGAATTTTGATGAAAGCAGCTATTCAGGCTCCCAGGTAAGGACTCTCCGGGTCCCTTCTTGCTCTATCTAGGTTCCAGGAGAGGGAGGGGTGAGGAGAGGCAGGGGGTGGACCGAATGAGCCCCTAGGTACCACCGTCAAGGCTCTAAGACGTTAGGCTCCAGAGGCCTTTTCACTTCAGGCATGTGATGGGGGGGAGAGGACAGCAGCTCAGAATCCCCAAACTGTCCCACATTTCCAAATACACTTGGCCACACCTGTCCCTTGTGCTCCGAATTACTGCCTCAGGGGCCGGCTGGCTCAAGATGGGAAGAGATGGAGGTTGGGCAGAAGGGAGTAAACAAATCATAACACCCTGGCAACTATCTGGTTCCCGCTGAGTCCCTCTAAGACGCTGTGTGGAGGGGCGCCTGGGTGGCTCAGTTGGTTAAGCGGCTGCCTTCGGCTCAGGTCATGATCCCGAGGTCCTGGGATCGAGTCCCATGTCTGGCTCCCTGCTCGGCGGAGAGCCTGCTTCTCCCTCTCCCTCTGCCTGCCTCTCTGCCTACTTGTGCTCTCTCCCCGTTAAATAAATGAATAAAATCTTTAATAATAATAAAAAAAGTTGCTGTGTGGACTCTTGCTTCCCCTCCTAGGGACACAATACCGGCTCTTCCTGGGGTAGCAATGGTGGCTCTTCCTCCGGTAGCAGTGGAGGCGGAAATGGCGGTGGAAGTGGCGGCGGAAATAAACCCGGGGTGAGTGTCCGCTGAGGGCACACCTGCACAGATCGGCCTCCTTTCCCTGAAGGGGAGGGGAAAGAAGGGGTGCTACGGCCCCTCGGATGATGGGGGAGCTGGGAGAGCACCGGCCAGAGCTGAGAATGGGCTGAGGTGGGGCGGCTGCAGGCTAGCAGTGTGGGGGCTGGGATTGGTGTCTCGGTGGCAACAGAGGGAAAACTGTCTCCGTCTCTCTCACAGTGTGACAGCCCAGGGAATGAAGTCCGCATATCCGGAGGATCTGGGGGTCAGGTGAGAGCCAAACTTGGGATTGTGCCCACTCCTGCTTGGCGCCACTCCTAAGGCTAACCTCCAACCCAGCCCCGTCTGTGGGGAAGAAACCAAACGCATACTCCTACAAATATTAACAATCTCCAAAGTAATAATTGCAAATCCTTATGTGATGTGCCTCACTTTATACCGTGGATGGGGCTGTGAAAAATTACATAGAAACCAGTCCTTTTTAGAAACATAATCACTTCAAACGACCTACACCTACCTGGCCAGTGAACAGAATACCGTGACCTCTTTAATAGCATTTGGAAACTGGGTTTGGAATGGGTACACTTCCCTCCTAGTCATTCTGGAAATCTGGGCTTCCTGTCAGCACCTGCAGCACTGACAAGAGGACGTGTTATGCTAAGGTCCCCACGAATCACCTAGAGGTCTTGTGAAAATGCAGCTTCTGAGTCAGCAGGCCTGGGGTGGGGCTGAGATTTTGGTTTCTACCAGGTTCGGGCAAGGCCGATGTCCGCTGGTGTGAGCGCAGCCGATGGGGAGAAGGCTCCCTGAATATTAGGCTCCTTGGATATTAAGGATACTAACCTCTGTGGGTAGACAGGTGTTAGGAAAGCTCCCAGCTTGTAACTCTTTTCTAGTGTTTTGTGTATCAAAGTCTTAAATACGTAGTCAAATATACCAGTCTCTTCTTCTACGGTTTCTGTTCTTGAAAAGAAAAGGGCCTCAATTTTCTTCTGGAACTACTAATACATCTATACTTTCATTTTTTCTATTTAACTCTTTAATCTATCTGGGCTTTACTTTGCTGTATACAATCTAGTCCCATTCCTCAGTTCGGCTAGACTTGCCCCACACTTTGGATCAGAGCTATGTGCTCTCGAAGGGAAAACCGGATAAAAACAGAAGGGGGGACCAGCAAGGTATATAACTAAGTGCCCCCTGCACCCCCCCAGATACTTAACTGGTGTTCCCAGCCACACACACTGAATTATTTACACCACTGATGTACAACGTCACTTGTAAATACCTTCATATTTTGGGAAAGCTTCTGGGAGTTCTATTTGGTTAAACTGACTCATCTGTTCTGTGACGCTGCTTTCTTTATGGTACATTAATATCTGCCAGTACAAGTCCTCCTTTGTTGCCTGTCTTTTCCAAGTGTTTTCTCACCTATTCTTAAACACTTATTCTTCCAGATGAATTCCAAGATTATTTTGACCAGTTCCAAAAGAGAATTCCATGAGGATTTTTAGAGGAACTGTATTAAATCAGTACATAAAGGTGTAGGGATGGACCTAAGATCTAAAACAATGATCTCTGTTGCACTGTCTCATCCCTCAGGGCTCTGGAGAAGGACAGGGAGGCTCCGGCAGCTATGGTGATATCAGGGTAAGGAGATGACCGGCCTTGAGAGTAGAGACTGGTGGCGGGAGATGGGATGGAGGTCAACTTTGCAGTAGCAATGCTAACAGTGCAGATAGTCCCGCACGGCAGGCTGGTCTTGATCTTACCTCGGGGAATTCATCTCAGTCCCAGGAAAGTGGGACTCAAGAGGCACCTCCCTCTAACTTAGGAGGAGAGGAACCAGGTGACTTCTGTGCCACTTAGTCTCCTGCTGACTCTCTAGCCAGCATCCCCTTTCTGACCAATTCAACACATCTGCCCAGACTGTGTCCCGCAGTCTGAATCAGTTCAGTCCAACAGTCTGGCTGGCTTCTGCCTCAAAATCAGGGGACAATTCAGATACTTTTGTGGCAAAGGCCCTTCCTGTTGGATTTTGGGCAGTTTGCAGAAGTGAATATAAAGAGATGGTTATGTCGCCAGTAAGTATTGTAAGTGAGCAATAACCCAATCCACAGGAAGTTGAAAGAAGATTTTCCAGGGAGAAGAGCCTCTCTTGGGGCTCTGGGAAGTCTTCTGCTATGTTCGTGCCTCAGTCCCCTGATTCAGGAGCCCCTGGCCCACATCCTGCTTGCCTACCCTCTCATCCTGCATGTTACCTGCTTCCTCAGCGACTCTTCTCCATTTTCTCTCTCCGCAGGAAATAAGCAAAGAGGGCAGTCGCCTGGTTGGGGGCCCCGGAGACAATTATCAGGTGAGCAGGGATGGCTTTAGGAGAAGGGGTGGTAGAGTGTGGGGACAGAAGGCTAAGGGACGGCGAAAAGAAACAGAAGCCTCAGTATCTTCTTGCAAGCTGCTCTCTGTGGTGAGTGACCACCAGGAGACCAGACAGGGGTCTGGAATCCCTGTCTCCTTGGTTCATCCATTCTCTCCCTTCTTCAAACTGTGATCCTCACTGTGTATTATCACTGCGAGGGGAAACATAGCCAAAAGTAACAGGAGAATGGTCAAGGGGCTATTTTTGGAAACCATACTTAAGAAGTGTTGAGAAGTGGAAAGCAGTGACCTCTGAGTTAGAAGATGGGGGTTCAGAGGACAGCTGTCCCACCTGTCATCTGTGCATCTTCAGGCAGGGCAGTTGACCTGAGCCCGGGCCTCCTCTTGGGTAAAATGGGAACGGCAAAACCTACCTTGCTTAACCCCACAGTTACTGCAGAGCTTTTTGCACCATAACCAGAGCAAGGTGGCTCAGGATCTGGACACTGGAGTCTGACAAGGAGACAGACTGTGAGGCACGCTGCTGGACAGCTCTGAGTTTGCCTCCCTCATCTGTCAAGTGGAGATGTCTCCTGTGGAGACACAGGAAATGTGGCCGGATAAGGCACTGTGCTAGGTGCATGGTGGGGCTGATTACACATTAGCTCCCAGCAGCATTTTGGGGACAGGCTCTGGGGGAGGCAGAACAGGAATATGATTCACGGGACTGGGCAGGGTAATTCTAGGAATAAGTGGCAAATCATTCCAAGAAGGTGGCAAATCATTCCAAGAAGGTGGGATTTCCTAGCTGCTGTGTGAAAAAGGAGAGGAGGTAGCTTTACACAGAGTACACAGAGCTTGAGCAAAGGCAGAGATGGTGGGCAGGAGCAGGCTGATAGGTGGCATGCCTGACAGGAGGCACAGGGCTTGAACAGTAGTCCCCCCTTCCTACCCAGTGGCAAAGGGTCCAGCGGAAGAGGTGACACTGTCAGTGGGATCAATACCTTGGTGACTGGAGGCATTACCCCACCTTTGGCCGGGACCATGGTGTCAAGCAATCCCTGCCTCCCCTCCTGACCCCCAGAGCTTCTGCCCCTGCCTTTCGCTCACAGGGTGAGTTCCTACTCTCATCCCCTTTCTCTTCGGTTCCTTAGAACTCTCAGACGTCTCCTGGGCTCTTCAACTTTGACACTTTCTGGAAGGTGAGTTCATGCAAGATCTCTCTGCTCACTCTTTGGAAAAGCAAAGCTCTGGCCCTCTGCCCTTTAGGCTGAAGTCCTCTTTCCAGAAGGACCGAACACCAGTGATGGCCCCTGACCTCTTGCCCGGAGGCCCTGAGCCAACATTACATTACAACTCAATTTGCCATTTTCCATCTTTTTTTTTTTTTTTAATCTCTGCAGAATTTTAAATCCAAGCTGGGTTTCATTAACTGGGATGCCATAAACAAGGTAAGGGCTGGAAGGCCGTACCATTCGCTCTCTGTGGGAGAGGGAAGCAGAAGAAAGCTAACTGCTAACCCCCCGACTGGGGAGCCGGGGAACACAATGGTGGCGCTGGAAGGGCGTTTTGTCCAGTGCTTAAAAAAAGGACAAAAAGAGGAAGGAGGCAGAGCTGAGAAGAGGGGGTGGTTTGGAAACAGCTGGGAGTCCAGGATGAGGAAGGAATGGGCCTCTTTCATGTCTCAGTGTGCAGACTGAGCAGGCGTGAACCTCAGCTTCTCCAACGAGACCTGGAAGGTTAAGGGGAGAGTGAGGAGGCCTAGTCCTCAGGAAACCAGAGAGGTAGCAGAGGCAGGGTAGGGGGCAGGACTGAACAGTCAGGAGGAGCTCAAGGTCCCCAGGAGGACTGACGCTGGGAGAGAAGGGAAAGGAAGCGATTATGTGCCCGGTGCCGGCTGCGTGCCAGGCGTTCTGGACCCTGGGCGTGCATAAGTTTAGGAGGCACTCGGGGCCCAGAACCCCTCTCTCCTTCCCCCCCACCCCCCCATGTTCAGGGGAACCCCTGGCCAGGCTGATTTGACACCTAAATAGCAGACGCACCTCCAGAGCAGAGGCAGACCAACAGCACGAACAAACACCAAAGGCAGAAGTTGCAATTGACGGCCCACTGATGTGCTTTGTTTGATCCATTTGTTTTTTTAATTTTAAAGACACTATGAATCAGTTGCCAAAGTTTAAAAACTGAGAGGTTTTATAAAACACTCGGAATTCTGGCTTCTCTTGAAAAATGAGGCAATGCGGGGCCCTCTTTCCTCCAGCTCAAGCTCCTCTGACAGACAAGAGCTGACTAGCGGCTGCTTCTCTCCAGGAGCCACAGGCCGCTGCCCGGCACAGTCACCCCAGCAGCTGGGCTTCGGACCCTTACCGTAAAAGGAGGAAGACAAGGCTCCCTGCCCTCTAAAACTTGTGGGGGAGACAAGGTGGTGGTAGACAGGGAGGTGAAGAGAAAGCCCTACCCTCAGGCAAGGCCAAGTCTGCAACTTGGGGAAGAAGGTGGGAGAGTAAAAGTGCAGCGCGGTGCAGGTTTGGATGAACTAAAGGAGCCAAATGGACTGTTTCTGCTTTATTTTTATTTTAAAGATTGTATTTATGTATTTGTCAGAGAGAGAGCACTCACAAGCAGGGGGAGCGTCAGGCAGAGGGAGAGCAGGCTTCCCGCTGAGCAGGGAGCCCATGCGGGATTCGATCCCAGGACCCTGAGATCTTGACCCGAGTGGAAGGCAGACATTTAACCAACTGAGCCACCTAGGTGCCCCGACTGTTTCTGTTTTAGAGAGAATGGTCTCTGGTAGGCGCGAGGCTCCTTACCATGGAGCTGGGGTAGACGAGGCCCCAGAGCACGAGGAACTTAGGGTCAGAGGCACAGACTGATACTTCCTGGGGGCCAGGAAGGCAGTGGACATTCTTGCACATCTGGGGGGAGGGGCAGTAAAGGGAGCGCTCACAGTTAGGCAGGATCCATTTGGGGCAGCTCCCCCAGGAGCAGATCTAGGAAGGGGGGGGCAGGCCAGAGATGGGCAGAGAGGAGAACAGAAGGCCCATCGTCTTCACAGGGAGGGAGCTGAGCACTGGGGCCAGAATGAGCAGGGACAACAGGGAGACTATACGTAACAGTTCTTGGCAAGTGTGAGGTGTTCCATCCCAAACTGGAATATCTGGATTTGGCTGGATGACAGCCACGGGCAAAATGATCCCTGCAGATTTCAGGAGCAGAGGCCTAATCCACCCCTGACTTGGCCAATTAGGCCCTGAATTCTTATTCCTTGAGCTCCCTCTTAGAACTTATTTCTTTGCCCAGGACCAGAGGAGCTTTCGCACCCCGTGACCTCCAGACAAGGAGCTACCAGATGGATGGGAACCCCCCCACCCCTTCTTAAAACCCCACTACCCCACCACTAATCTCAACCCTTACCCTTGAAATAAACCGTAGCTGCCCCACACTTCTGGTCTCTGCTCTTTCTTATGTCTCCATGGTTGTTCCAGGGGGGTTTGGAAGGATCAACCGCAGCCCCATAGCTTTGGCAAAGGGGCTGGGGGTGGAAGGGCAGGTAAGAAGGCGGGAAGCCCTGGGGGCAGGTCCCGGTCCCGGGGTTTGGCTGCAGTGAGGTTCTGCCAGAGGCTGGGGAAGCAGGGAGAGTGAAGAGTGTGGTGTGTGGGGGGGGAAGGGGGGCTGGTTAGCAGCTCCAGAGATCTAATCTCTCTCCCTCTGCTTCCCCTGCCAGGAGCCAGGGTATTTATTCCACAGCAAAAAGCAGTTTCCTGGTGTCTCTAAAAGACACCCAGCTTCTCCCCAAACCTTAGGCACGATTACATTCTGAAGGCTGAGCGATGGTGGTATCAGGAATAGGGGTGTAGGTGAGCAAGGGGCCGGGCTTCCTGCTCACCTGCACCCTGCCTTTCCTCTACAGGGCCAAGTCCCACGCCCCAGCACACGCGCCCTGCTCTACTTCAGCCGACTCTGGGAGGTAGGAGAACCCTCACTTTTCAGAGGACTGGGGATCTGGTCATCTGTCCCTCTCCCCACCTCCTCAAGCTCCAGCCCACCTGTCACAAAATTCGCCCTCTTTTCATTTTTGAGATGGGTAATCGCACCCGAATACCATCAGAAGTGCTAACACCCTCAACCTCTGGTATGCTTATCTTCATCTAACCCCAAACCACACCCAGGCACCAAAACCCATTCTTGCACATGAGCTTGAAACTTTCCAACAAGTTGCCACACTCCCCGCTCTGAGGCCCACTCATGTCTTCTCCTCCCGCTAGGATTTCAAACACAACACCCCTTTCCTGAACTGGAAAGCCATTATTGAGGTAAGAGTGGCAGAACCTCTCGTTTTGGGATCAGGAAGTCCAAATCTGGGGACATGGGACCTGGGCTCTTGGCAGTGGCTTGCATTCAGTCCCTGTTGCTTACCTTCCCTGCTGAGAGAGGGTGCCTCCCTCCCTTCCCACTCTTCTCCCTTTCTGCAACACTAAGTGGGGGTGGGGTAGGAGAGAGGAGCCAGTGAGTCACTAGAGAAGGAGTAGGGTGGGCAGTCCTCCCTAGGATAAAAGCTGAAGCCAAGGGCTGGGGCCTCCACAGGCATAGGAACATGAAGCCGGCCACTGTCTCTGCTCTGCTGCTGGTCCTGCTGGGCGTGGCCTGGCTCAGGGGGAGCCTCAGCTGGGTGGGTACGGCAGGGTGAGCAGGGGGAGGGGACACGAGATGGGGAAGAGAGGGGCCTGGAGCTGGGGTGAACTCTGAGAACTGGGAAAGGGGTGTTAGGGAGGAAGGCTGAAAGGAAACAGGAGGCATGAGGGGAGCAGGTCAGGCCATGGTTAAGCGTGAGCAGGTACAGAAGGTCTGAATATCTGGGTTCTGGGAAGGAGGGGTCCTGCAGAAGGCCACATCTTAATTCTTCATGGCCAGTGGCCTTTGGGCACTGACGCAAAGGTTGCCCACTCACTCATCTGTGTGGACCAGGCACATGAGGCTGGACAGGTGGGGCCACGCAAAGGGGGAGGTCAGGGCCCTCCAGGTGCGTGTTGTCATGCACTCATGAATAACCAGTGTGGCCATGTCGTCTGATGGAAATCTGATTTTTAACTGTTCACAACTGATTTGATTTAAAAATGCAGGCCAAGCAAAAAAATACCCGGAGGCCTGTGGTCAAGCAGTTTGTGACCTCAGTGTTAGGGCTAAGAGTGGGGCTAAAATTCAATGGGAGTTAAGTCAGAGTTAGGAGGAACATCCTAACCCTGTGTGTATGTGTGTGTGTGGGGGGGTGAGGGTGGGGGTTCCAAGTGGAGAAGGGATGGTCGCAGAAGCTGAACTCTCCTGCTGCTGCTAATTTTCCACTTGCCCTGACTGGGGGTGGGGGTGGGGGGAGATGGCCCATGCACCGGTGCTGTGTCTCACGTGGCTTGATGGGCTTTCTTGCAGTTCTCCCCTTTCTCTCTCTCCTTCGGCCCAGTGCCAATCTAATCACTTCACTTTGCCTGTTTGCTGAGGATAACAGGCCATCCTTCCAGGAACCCTATGGGAACAGTGTTTGTGAACAGGAATTATAGGGCTAAGGAGGGAGCAGGGTTTGGTGTCAGCAGAAGGTGGGTTGGGGCTGAGGTGCCGTGTCTGCCCCAAGGGAGCCGTGTGGGCATCGCTCACTTGCCATTCCTGCTCAGTCCCAGGCCGGCCTGCCGAAGCTCCAGATGCACGGCTGGGGGTGGGGGTGCCTCGCTCCCCAAAACTGAGTGTAGAAATCTGTCCTGCATCTATCGGGGTCATCAGTGTCCTCCAGGCTCACTGCCTTCTCTGGAGGCAGTGCTGATCCTGGACCATGGAGAGGGGTGCGGTGGGGTGTGTGGGTGCTGGTGCTCCTATGGGAGGGCAGAGCCTAGGCAGCAGGCTGCTGGAGCCCCGCGAGTCTGGCAGGGCCCTAAGGACCTTGGACAAGGACACCCTCACAGCAGCTCTCTCCCTTCCAGGGTGCTGATGCGTCCTCGCTCCAGAAGAGGTCGGGCAGTGCCAGTCAGGTGAGTCGCTCTGCCCTCAGACTGCCCTTGATGGCCCCAGGTCCCTCTCGGTCTGGTTCTCAGGGCTGGCCAATCTGAAATTTGCTTTCCTCCACACCCCCATTCTGTTGTTCTCTCAGTCTGGCTCGGGATGGCAAGAGGTGGCCGCTGTGACTTCTAAGGTAAGACATCTGCCACCTGACCACCTGAATCAAACCTCACTCATTTCCTTGGTCTCCTGCCTTCATCTCCCGAGTAACACTCGAGGAGCCGGGAGAGGTACCAGGGAAGGGGGAAGAAGGGCCATTTGGATTGGGACTGTAAGTGAGGTGAGACTGTGGGCTCTGGCTGGCGGAAGGAAGATTCTATGGAAAAAAATGCATGACATGTGGAGGGAAGGCGGGGGCTTAGAGACAGGTCTGGCCCAGGCCAGGAGCCAGGATATTTATTCCACAGCAAAATGCCCTCATCCTTTCTCTTCTACCAACACCCTCCTCCCCCCGCCCCCTGGCTTTTTCCCACAGAACACCTATAACCAGCAGGCGTACCCTACTCCCTCTGGTGGGCAGAACGCAGCCAAGATCCCCTCTAAGGTAAGACTCCAACTGCCCTGTTTCCCCACTGGGGTCTCTGCATGGGGGGTGAGGGAGGGAGGCTTTCCCGGCCAGGCTTAGCTGAGGCTGAATCCTGTTCATTTTGAAAGTCATGTCTCGCCCCCTGTGTAGGGAGACTCGGGCTCCCTGAGAGCCATCTGGAAGTGGAGGGTGGGAGGTTCAAGGTTCTCCACACCCACCCACTCAGAAAAGGTTACAAGGGGGCAGCAGCTGTGTCACATGCCCTGGAGGAAACTGGGAACCAACATCCTCTCAAAGAGTGATATACAGCTCCAAAAAAACTCACATGACACACAGCAAAACTAGCAGCCTTCCCATGTAGTAGTGTCTGTTCTCTCCACCTCTTTAACTGCTGACTTTCGTGGGGGGTGGGGGTGGGGGGGAGGGCGAGAGGGGGGCACACTAACACTTAGGGGAGGCTTGCCCAGAAACTTGTGGTTGGTGGGGAAATTAATGCTTCGTTCCACAGAGGAGATAACAGAAACAAAACAGAACAAAACAACTCTGCGACTTGTTTCGTTCAGTTGCAAAGAAAGCAATCTTATAAATTCAGTAAATGAACATGCTAAATACTAATTATGCTGGTGAAGAAAAAACAGGTGCTATTTCCCTCCATCTCTCAGAACAAGGAAGCCCCTAGCCTCAGGGACAGGACTTTCTGCTGAGAGATCAGGAGTCACCTCCTGACTGGAAGCCGGTAAAGAAGCAGTTAATGCTGCCCGTGGGTATCCGCTCGCCAATGGTTGGTGGCCAATTTCTACCCATCCACCTAGCAGGCAGAAGGACACCTATCTACCTGTCTACCTTCTGTTCACTCTACTTGGCCAGTGTGTGCTCATCTTGGGTAAATGTACTTAGGATGATAAATCTGCTTTGAAAGAAAGTCCGTGGGCTGCATGTCCACAGTGAGACCCAAGGACTTCCAAGATAATCTGGGTCTGAGCCTGCCTCTGGGCCCCGAAGACATGGCAGAGGTCACTGTAGCCCCACATCACCTCCTCTGATCTCTTTCCAGGGGGGAGCCATGCCTTCTTCCTCGGTGAGTAGTGGGGCAGAGAAAATCTGGCTCCTGAGAGAAGGGGTCTGGGGCTAGAGGGTGTGCAGGGCCAGGGCCATGGCCATGGCCACTCAGACGTTCTCCCTGTCCTGCAGGCTTCCCGGGCGCGCCCTGGCCTGCTGCAGTGGGTGAAGTTCTGGTAGGTGAGTGTCAGAGTGAGCGGTGCAAGCCTGCATCCAGGAGCTGAGGCACAGCCACCCCAGGGGCAGGGCTGGGATCTTGGCATTCGCTTTGCTTTGGGTGGATGTTCTGAAGGCATCGAGAAGGAGACCCCCCAGCATGGGGCGTGGAGAAAGGCTCATCAGGAAATGACCGAGGACACTCGGAAAGCCTCTGAGCGCTGAGTGAAGGCCTGCCAGAGGCGGGGCCGTGCAGGGACAGCCATAAGGGGAGGTGGAGGAGAGGGACGTGACAGAAGGGTCTGGGGGGAACTGCAGAGAAAGGCTCAGAGGCAGGAAGAAGTGAGTTGTCAGTGGGGAAGGGGCAACAGATAAACTTGGCAAAACCACAAAATCTGTTTCAGGGAGAAGCAAGGGTAAGGGGATGCGCAGGTGAAACAGGGAGGACACCAAAAAACTGGGAGCTTAGAGGCTGGATGAAAGGGTACCCGGTTTAAACACATTCAGGGGCAGCCACATTCTACTGTTTGCTCTTTCTTTTCTTCTAGAAAATTATTTCCAATCATAACTGAGGCCCTGAACAACATCAGCCATCAAGGAGCGCACCTGTGCCCCGCCCCCAACTCTCTCCCTGTGTCGGGCCTGGTCTGGGTGCTGACACCTGTTTTTTCCAGGTTGAACCTGATCTGTCTGTCCCTCGTTTCTTCCAGCTGCACTGGGGGGTCTCCTTGCCCAGAAACCTCATCGGCTAAACCTGCCACTTTCTTCACCTACTCTGTTTTGTGACCTGAAGTCACTGTGACAGTTCTTCAGGAGAAGCTTCCTACTTTGGGGTTTCTTTGTGGAAATAAAACATGAATCTTATTTCCTTAAGATTTCTCATGCCGTGTTCTTTCACGTTATCCTCATGGCCCGGATCAGGGAGAATGGAAGTGATCTAGGGGCAGATAATTTGCCTTCCTGCTGAGAGTGGTATACCAAATGGGGGACCGAGAGAGGTTAAGACCTGGGTGGTCCTGACAAGCAGTAGCTAGCTGATCTCACTGTGCCTCAGTTTCTCCATCTGTAAAACATCATCTTGGCCCAGCCTGCATCTGAATGCCATGCTCCCGGAGCTGAGGCACTCAAAGGTGTTTTGCTAGCCTGAAAAGGCAACAGGAAGTCATTCACCTCAGGAGGTGGCAGTAAAGAGGCTTTTCAAGGGAGGAGGCCAGTCCCAGAGGGTCAGGAAGGGGGCAAGAACAGGGGCCAGGGGCTAGCAGAGCACATGCCTCAGCCTTGTAAACACACAGTGGTATGGATGAGGCCATGTGCTTAGGAAGTTGTGGGTAAGTGGATCATACCCAACCCAGTGCCTTATCGTATGCAGTGGCTCCGTGTCTCCGGGATGCAGAGGGGGTGGCATAAACTTCTACTCCATTAATGTGCCAAGGAAACAGGCAGGGGTTCTTGGCACAGGCCGAGGCCAGGCTTATCCCAAGCGTAGGAACTCTGCAGGCAGGCCTGGAGAGTCTGCACTTAAGAGTCTCTGAGTCAAAGTCCCATCAAGGCCATATCATGTGCCCAAATTAGGGAGTCCTCACCATCATCCCCGACATCCCTGTAGGGACCCAGGAAGTAAAAGGAGAACAGGAAGCACCCTCTTAGTGTAGGTGACTCCCTCGGAGACTCTAAGTTCCCTGAGGGCACAGCTCCTGTTTGCCTTGGTCATCGCTCCATCCATCCCCAGCACTGACCACAGGGCCTGACAAAGGGTGGGCCTCAAATGGTTGATGAATAAGTGAAAAAAACAAAAAACAAAAAACAACCTGGTCCAAAATGAACTCGGGGGAACTGTCTTGATCAAACCCGTCTGGGTGAGAGAAAGATGAAGACTATTCCTTTGCTCTGCCTCCTACTCTCACTTTTGTCCTTGAATTGGGGCTACTGCTTTGGAGACATACCTCATTTTATCGTGCTTTGCTCTATTGCATTTTGCAGATATTAACGTCTTTTACAAACTGAAGCTTTGTGGCAAACCTGCATCAAGCAAGTCTATTGGGACCAGTTTTCCAATAGTATTTGCTCACTTCACGTCTCTTGTGTTACATTTTGGTAATTCTCTCAGTATTTCCAACTTTTTCATTGTTATTACATTTGTTATGGTGATCTGTGATCCCTGATCTTTGATGTTACTATTGTAATTATTGTGGGGCACCACAAACTACACCCATATAAGACAGCAAACTTAATCCATAAATGTGTGTGTTGACTGCTCCACTGACTGGCCGTTCTCCCATCTCTCCCTCTCCTTGGGCCTCTCTATTCCCTGAGACAACAATATTGAAATTAGGCCAACTGGCGTGCCTGGGTGGTGCAGTCAGTTAAGTGTCCAACTCTTGATTTTTGGCTTGGGTCCTGATCTCAGGGTCGTGGGATCGAGCCCCATGTTGGCCTCCACGCTCCGCAAGGAGTCTGTTTGGGATTCTCTCTCCCTCTCTCCCTCCCCTACTCGGGAATAAAGAAATAAATCTTAAAAAAAAGAAAAGAGGGGCGCCTGGGTGGCTCAGTCGTTAAGCATCTGCCTTCGGCTCAGGTCATGATCCCGGGGTCCTGGGATCGAGCCCCGCATCGGGCTCCCTGCTTGGCGGGAAGCCTGCTTCTCCCTCTCCCGCTCCCCCTGTTTGTGTTCCCTCTCTCGCTGTCTCTCTCTCTCTCTCTCTGTCAAATAAATAAATAAAATCTTTAAAAAAAAAAAAAAGAAAAGAAATTAGGCCAATTTATAGTCCTACACTGGCCTCTTAAGTGTTCAAGTGAGAGGAAGAGTCGCATGTCTCTCACTTTAAATCAAAAGCTAGAAATGACTGAGCCTGGGGAGGAAAGCGTGTGGAAGGCTGAGCAGGCTGGCAGCTAGCCTCCTGCTCCAGCTGGCTGTTTGTGAGGGCAAAAGAAAAGTCCTTGAAGGAAATGAAAAGTGCTACTTTAGTAAGCACATGATTGATCAGAAAGCCAACAGCCTTGGTGCCGATGCGGAGAAAATTTCTGTGGTCCGGACAGAAGTTCAAACCAGCTACAACATTCTCTTAAGCCAAAGCCTGATCCAGAGCCAGGCCCTGACTCTCTTCAATTCTGTGAAGGCTGAGAGAGGTGGGGGAGGTGCAGAAGGAAAGCTGGAAGCCAGCAGAGGTGGGCTCATGAGGTTTAAGGAAAGAAGCCGTCTTCATGACATTAAAAAAAAAATCACAAGGTGAAGCAGCAAGTGCCGATGTAGAAGCTGCAGCCAGTGACCCAGAAGATCTAGCTAAGGTCATTCCTGAAGGACTTGAGCAACAGATTTTCAATATAGATGAAACAGCCTTCTATTGGAAGGAGATGCCGTCTAGGACTTGGAAAACTGGCGAGAAGTCACGCCTGGCTTCATAGCTTCAAAGCACAGGCTGACTCTCTTATTAGGGGAGAATGCTGTTGGTAACTAAGTTGAAGCCACTGCTCATTGACCATTCTAAAAATCCTAGGGCCTGAAAGAATTATGCTAAATCTACTCCGCCTGGGCTTTATACATGGAATAACAAAACCTGGATGACAGCGCATCTGTTTACAACATGGCCTACTGAATATTTTAAGCCCACTGCTGAGACCTACTGCTCAGAAAAAAGGGATTCCTTTTAAAATGTTACTGCTCACGGACAATGCACCTGGTCATCCAGGAGCTCTGATGGAGATGGACAGTGAGATTCATGTTTTCATGCCTGCTGACACAACATCCATTCTACAGCCCATGGATCAAGGAGTCATTGTGACTTTCAAGCCTTATTATTTAAGAAATACATTTTGTGAGGCGGGCCGGAAGTGGGCCGGGGCCCCGCAGGCGAGATGAAGTGGGCAGTGGACGAGATGTTCCCTGAGGGCGCCGGGCCCTACGGGGACCTGGACGAGGCAGGAAGCAGCATGGGGCTCCTGATGGACTTGGCAGCCAATGAGAAGGCAGTTCATGCAGACTTTTTCAATGATTTTGAAGATCTGTTTGATGATGATGATATCGAGGGAGACGCCGTCCGGCGGTGCATGTGCTCATGTGTGTTACGAGGTGGTGTGGCGGAGTTCCTCACAGGACAATTTCAGATGGTCCTAAAGAACTCGTGGATGTTACTTGAAATTAGGAGATGGTTAACCAAGAAAGAGAAGGATGGTTTTAACTATCTGCATGAGGCCCGCTTATCTCTGAATGTGACCAACTTTTGTCCTTCAATTAAAAAGCGATGCCATCAAAAAAAAAAAAAAAAAGAAATACATTTTGTAAGGCAATAGCTGCCATAGTGGTTCCTCTGATGGATCTGGGCAAAACAAATTAAAAACCTTTTGGAAGAGATTCACTGTTGTAGATACCATTAAGAATATCTGTGATTCATGAGAAGAGGTCAAAATATGAACATGCCCAGGGGTTTGGAAGAAGCTGATTCCAAGCCTTGTAGATGACTTTGAGGGGCTCAGGACTTCAGTGGAGGAAGTCACTGCAGATGTGGTGGAAACAGCAAGAGAACTCAAATTAGAGGTAAAGCCTGAGCATGGGACTGAATTGCTGTGATCTCATGATCAAACTGAAGGGATGAGGAGCTGCTGCTTATGAATGAGCAAAGAAAGCGGTTTCTTGAGTTGGAATCAACTCCTGGTGAAGATGCTGTGAAGATCGTTGTAATGGCAACAAAAGATTTAGACTACGAGACAGACTTAGTTGATAAAGCAGCAGCAGAATTTGAGAGGCCTGACTCCAGTTCTGAAGGAAGTTCTACTGTGGGTAAAATGCTATCCAAAGGCATCACATATTACAGAGAAGCTGTTCATGAAAGGAAGAGTCAATTGATGCAGCAAAGTTCAGTTTGTCTTAAGAAACTGCCACAGTCCCCCCAGCCTTCAGCAACCATGACCCTGATCAGTCAGTAGCCATGGACATTGAGGCAAGACCCTCCACAGCAAAAAGATCACACTTTGCTGAAAGCTCACTTGATAGTTAGCATCCTTTAGCAATAAAGTGTTTTTTAAAATTAAGATATGTATGTTTTTTTTTAAGGCATAATGCTATTGCAAACTTACTAGACTACAGTATAAACATATTTTTTATGTGCATTGGAAAACCAAAAAATTCATTTGACTCAATGGGGTGCCTGGGTGGCTCCGTCAGTTGAGTATCCAACTTTTGGTTTTGGCTCAGGTCATGATCTCAGGGTCCTGGGATCAAGCCCCATGACGGGCTCCTTGTTGAGCGGGGAGTCTACTTGAGGATTCTCTCTCCATCTCCCTCTGGTCCTCCCTATGCTCGTGCTCTCTCTCTCTCTAAAACAAATAAGTAATTCTTCAATAATATTTCAGAAATAAATTTAAAAATTCATCGGACTTACTTTATTGGATTATTTGCTTTATTGTGGTGGTCTGGAACCCAACCGGCCATTATCTCCAAGGTGTGCCTGTCCTCCAAGGTGTGTCTGTCTTGGATTTCAGCTGTGTAGGGAGGGCCTTGCAGTACCTCCTGGAAGCCACAGGGAGGAGAACCCAGCTCTCCCCAGGCAGACACTCAATTCTTTGGCTGACTGACAGCTAGCTTCCTGGAGTGTGGGTGATGAATCAGAAAGAGCTGGAACTCAGGTCTCCTGGAGCCAGTCCCTGAGGGACAGCAGGAGAAGCTGAGGTGGTCAACATGGTTCTAGACTCTCAGGGTATTCCTGGTCCAAAGGGCTCAAGGCAGCCCTTTAAAGTTCAAAGTGCCACCTGAAGCAGGCAAAGGCCCTCTGGTGTAAAGGACTCTCTAATAAAAGGGCAGGATGTCCCTTTCTCCTTCCTGGACCTCTGACTTTCATTTTCCCCTAAAATCCATTCTCCCATGACAGCCAGGAAGGATC